CAGCTCTTTCCTCTATTTCCATTGATTCTCCTCCTGTCCCACTATCATGCTCAGTCCCCACCAGGATTTCAGCATTTCCTCTTTGTTACGTTCCCCTTGATCCTGCCCTACCAGGTCTCCCACACCCAAAGACACACAGAAGAAGGCTTTAAAAGTTTGTAGAAAAATTCCATGATCTATTAACTCAAAATTTTCCATAAGCTTTTTAAAGCCCCTGTATCTATTATATCTATGTCTATATGAGCGGGCTTTAACTGTTGATTATTCCCTCCCCTTTCAAAGTTTGTTTTCCTCCCTCACAACTGTGACTCTAAGCATGTGGGTTCCCCAGTGAGCCCCTAATGCTTGATTAGCATCTCAATTTCCTTCTTTAATAAAAAATTCAATCAGGAGCCACTTAATGTTCCTGATTGAGTTTTTAAGTACAAACAAAACAGTGGTACAAGTTGAGCTGTGAAAACGGCACAGGGGAGAGACCCAAGACCACTTAGGAAGAGCAAGGACAGGATTTCTATTTAATTTCTTCACTTCCCCGGTGCCAGAGATCCAGGCAGGACTCCCACCTCAGGGTGGTCTGATGAGCACATTTACATTCTTGAGTGCAAAACAGACCAGCCTCTGAAGCAATCTGAAAGAAAGTTCTGGGAACTGAGTATATAAGGCCAGACCCTTAGGGGCCATTTCTTCTTTAAAGGACGGTGCAAGGAAAAACATAGAGGGCCGAAGTGCAGAAATGAAAGGCAGAGATGGGAGGGGAGAAACGAGTCTAGTCCCAGAAAATCGGCAAAAGGACACCCAAGGAGATTGAAGCCAGACGTCGAGATGAGGGCAATGTTCAAGTCAGTTCCAACTGGCTTTATGCTGTTGAAGTCTTTAAAGGGATCCATGTTTCTTACTAGAAATGTTAAAAATCTGAACAGACGATATTCTCATTCTTTACAAAGGGTTGAACACTGAACTAATTCTCACATTTACTTATGTGGGGTGATCTGGATTCAGTGTTGATTTTAAGTTTTATCTTTGATGATGGTTAACAAAAAATATCTGGAGAAACACGTAGGTAAACTATCTTGAACCTGTATACTTGACCAGAACTAAACCCTCCTCACTTCTGAGATGACCTAAAAACCTCATCTTTATAAAAGCTTGGAATTGAGAAAAATTGCTTTGAAGATCTAGGTCCTCTTACCATGAGCTTGTCTAGGCTTCTTCCTTCACTTCCAATGTTTTGTAAATCCAACTCATGCTTCACCCCAGCTATGTCCTAGGTGCACATGACACATCATTGAAATTACTATCCAGAACATACCTCTTATAGCAATTGCTTCTCACAAACTTGCCTCCAGAGGACAGAATTTCTTCCAGGAGGGAAAAAAAACCACACCAATCTTTGGCTTGACCATGGTCAGCAGCTGCTGATGCCCCGCCCTACTGCATGGAAATGAAAAAGCTACAGTTACTCAAATCTGAAAACCAAACGCAATGTTCTCAAGCCGTGTTATCAAGGACAGGCTAGAACTGCCCCTGAGAGTTTCCAAGATTATAAGTCTTTACGGCAGTAGAAAGCCTGTCTTTCTCCCTTGGAGTGGCTCATGGTTTTGAACTGCCAACTTTTCAGCCTGCAGCCCAACTCATAACCACTATGCCACCAGAACTCCTCTACTTCTAAATATTTGGAAGCTACTCTCCATTAATACTTTGGTCTATATTTTCAAAATCCTGAGGAACAAATTACATGGTTTAAACTATATTGTGACATGTCCTAAAAGTAGTCTGAACTGTCAACCTAGCATTCGACTCACTTGCAGAGAGTCAATTCTGACTCATAGTGACTTGATAGCACACAATAGACTGAGACTTTAGATCTTCATGGGAGTAGTCAGTCTCATCTTTCTCCTATAGAGCAATTGGTGGGTTTGAACTGCTGACCTTGTAGTTAGCAGCTCAGTGCATAGCCCATTATATCACCAGGATTCCTATTACCTTTGGCTGATCTCTGCATTAGAGAAGAGAAGAGGTGACTTGGGGTTCTTTCAGGCTGTATCAGAGTATTGATAGAGCACGGCAGTTAAGGAGTTTTTGTGGTGGCAAGGTGGTGCTAAGCTAAAATAAAAATCTGCCACAAGATAAAAATCTACATAGACGGGCAACTGAACATCCCGTTACTGAGGGGTTGTGGGGAGGAGATGAGCCAATCAGGATGCAGGGTAGCAATGATGAAACATATAACTTTCTTCTAGTTCTTTAATGCTTCCTCCCCCCCACCACTATCATGATCCCAATTCTACCTTACAAATCTGGCTAGACCAGAGGGTGTACAGTGGTACAGATAGCAACTGGAAACACAGGGAATCCAGTATAGATGACTCCTTCAGGACCAGTGGTGAGAGGGGCGATGCCTGGAGGGTGAAGGGAATGTGGGGTAGAAAGGGGGAACCAATTGCAAGAATCTAAGTATTGCCTTCTCCCTGGGGGATGGACAGCAGAGAAGAGGGTGGAGGGAAACATCAGACAGGGTAACTTATGACAAAACTATAATAATTTATCATCTATGAAGGGTTCATGAGGGAGGGGGGAGTGGGGAGGGAGGGGGGGAAATGAGCAACTGATATTAGGGGCTAGAGTGGGAGGCAAATGTTTTGAGAATGATGAAGGCAACAAATGTGCATATGTGCTTGACACAATGGATGGATGTATGGATTGTGATGAGAATTGTACGAGTCCCCAATAAAATAATTTTTTTAAATCTACATGGACACTGCCAAAAATTAACTATTACTCTAAAATAATTGAACATGATAATATGTAGTGATAGCAAAAATTATTATTACAGCATTTTCTTCCTTTTTCTGTGTAAGAACATTTCTTGCCTCCAACCAAGTCCCTCATCTCCGACACAGGAGCTATGTTATGGGAGATAGTTCATCTCTCATACATCTAACGGTGCATTACACAAGTTCTGGCCAACAGAAAATCTGTTTAGTAGATTAAATTATCTAATACCTTCAAATTCAAAAAGCTAATTAATGTGCTTCCTCCTAAACATGAATATCAGGGTTGACAATAATCACCATACAGGTAAGTGGAAAATAACTTCTGCATCTCATGATAACATACTTAACCATATTGCAATACCTATATGTTTCAGGTAGCTGAACTTGTAACCAGTGAGTTCTTTGAACAAGGAGATCGGGAGAGATCAGAACTGAAACTCACTCCTTCAGTAAGTTCATTCTTTTTCGTTCTTTTACAGCCCCTTTGCTAAGGAGTCCTGTTGGCAAAGTGGGTTACGTACATGTTGGGCTGTTAATCACAAGATCAGAAGTTTGAAACCACTAGCCACTCCATGGGAGAAAGATGAGGCTTTCTACTCCCATAAAAAGTTAGTTTCAGGAACCTACAGGAGCAGTTCTACCCTCTCCTAAAGGGTCTCTGTGAATCAGAATCGACTTGATGCCAATGAGTCATTTGTTAATACACATGGCTATATTATGCCATCTTAGTGACCCAGTGCTGCCTGAACAACATACATTTCTTTGCCTACAGTTTTAGAGGCTAAAAGTCAACATCGGGGTCTTTGCCACGTGGATTCCCCTGTGGGCTGTTTGGTGTCTGGTGTCTGAAGATGAATTTAAGTTTCTGGTGTTCCTTTCCTTGTAGATGGGTCCCCAAGGGTGTCTTCCTCTCATTTCTTCCTGTCGTAACACGCCCCTAGCAGCCATTAGGTTCACGATCCAGGCTACTCTGATATAGCCTCATTAACATTAAAAAGCTCTGTTTCCAAACAGTCGTATTTACAGGTATACAAGCTAAAGCTTCAAGACATAGTTTGGGAGATGATTTATCCATGACATATGGCAATATTATATTAATAGAAGTTCTAAAAACAGAATAAAGGTTGATTTCTTGGTTAAAATATTTGGACTATGCTAGCCATGATGTGTTGGAATTTGGAATGGTTGCCAAAATGAAATTACAGTGACCTGATTGCTTTTTTGTTCTTCTTCTTTTTTCTTTTTCTTTCTTTTATTAAAAATTTTAATTTATTGTGCTAAAATACAGGGGGGCTTCAAAAAGTTAATGGAAACATTCCATTATCCTTTCATTACATTTCCCCATGAGCTTATTAAAACCCCCTTATCTATATCACACAAACACTATTTATCTCCAAAATCTCGCCACCACCTCAGCGGCTCTGTATCAGTTCAGCAATGACTCCTTTTATTATGATGTGTTTGCCTTTTGAGTGACAATTTCAAAAATGATTCCAAAGCACCACTTGAAAGTAGGCCAGAAGGAAAGTGAATTTAAGGAAGTCCTTCTGAAAGTTTAAAACTTTAATTAAAAGTAGATGCTAAACAGTCTTATTCCCAGGTTTCTGCTTAAGAACAGTGAGCTCCTTAACAAGCACTTCTTGATCACCCACAGTGGGACAAGTAGGGATGAGGGAGGAGAGGGAAAATGGCATTTGAGTAACACGAGCCCAGGGCCAGGGCTTCATCGAGGACAATACCTTCTCTGGAATATGACTAGCACAATCACACAACACAATTGAAGACAAGCTCCACACCTTTGGCAAGCCCAAACGACAGTGACAGTAAATACTGGAGAGTTCTAGATTTTGTGTTCCAGCTTGGGGCCTTCCAAAGTTCCCAAATCAGATCATTTTCAGTCTCTTTCTTTCTTTGCACAATGAAAAATCTTTGCACAAAACTAGGTTCTGATGATTGAAATGCTATTCATATTTGGCTTCCCCATTTATCTGCTCCTTATGAAGGCTTACCACGGGCCCAGAATGACGTCCAGTTTTCCCTCAGGAGGATACAGAAAACATAAAGACCTGAACCCTCAAGGAAAAGGAAGCCTCTTATTCTCAATGAGTGGCTAGTTCAGTCAGCTCTGGAAAGGCGGCCAACTATCTGAAAGCCAATAGAGTCAGTGAGGCCAAAGAATGTGTCCACTGTCGGGAAGGTGTGTTCAGGTTTCAAATCAACTGAATTTGAACATTTGGAGGTATTAATAAGATCTTCAAGTTTTAAGGCACACTTCTTTGCTGATATTTCAAAGCAAGGAAAAGCAGAGCAGCTGAAACCACATGATAATTGTTTAAACTTTCAAAGAAACCACTATATACTATTTTGAAAACCTTCCTTAACTTTTTCTTGGTAGTGTCACTAAATTTGGAGAACATATATATATACACATATATCTCCAAATTATATACATATAGCTCCAAATTATATACATATTTCCAAATTATATATATATCATCTCCAAATTATATACATATGTATATAATTACAAAGTTAATGTCTCAAAGCTAGTACACCCAGGTTTCTCTCATCTATAAATCTATTTTCAAATAAAACTTTTATTCCTCTTAAAAAAAAGAACACCTGCTTTCAGAGGTTGCAAGGTTTACAATATAACAATACACAGGTCATTTCATTAGATGACAACATATGAATAAGTCGCCAGGCTTGCATGGCAGAGGGCAGTGGGCAGCTTTAAGGAGCCTCGGTCTGGAGGCACAGGGAAGGCATTTTCTGCAGGCATAATCACAATGAATCCAGCAGTGGAAACATAGTCCAAGATGTATTTTCTCCGCACAGAACACTCCCTAACCTAACTGGTGCCCGTCCCCTCAGCGCACCTAGGCTGCTGGTGCAGAGGGCGCCCATCGGCTCTTTCCCAGAGATCTGCTTGTGTATGTGCCCAGAGCTGATCCCTGCGGTGGCCATTGTGCCTTCTCCTTTAGGACACAAATGGTCTGGGCATCCCCGCCAGGCAGCATGGTTTCAGAGGTTACCTGGGTCATTCTTTGAAGAGAAGTTTGATGACGGTCACAGCCAAGGCCCAGTCCTGGAGGCAGCGATGCAGTAGCTAAGACATGGTTTGCGCGTGAAGCTAAGCACTGCGTGTCCAGCAGTGAAACGCGGTGCCGTGTTGTCCCACCTCAAGCCCCTCGTCAAATGTGAGGGACTACAGGCATTAGTTAACTCAGTGACTCCCGTTCATCCAGCACAAGACTGCACCGTGGTCTAGCGAAAAAGCAGGGAGCGACGGGATACTTCACATTCCCATTCGTTTTTCTCTCGTCGCACATTTCTTTAGAAATGCCTAGTCCAGAAAAGAAAACCTTTAAATTGGCCTCCACCAGCCCTGGTGGTGTCGCGGCTACTCATTAGTCTGATCCACCAGATCAGTAGTTCGAAACCACCAGCCACTCCTCCGGAGAAAGACAGAGCTTTCTAATCCCGTCAGGAGTTCCAGTCTCAGAAACTCACAGGGCTGTTCTCCCCTGTCCTCGGGTCTCTGAGGCAGCTCCCTGGCAGTGAGTCTTATTTCCCAAAACCCTGCCGAGACAATTCAGGAAAAATACCCGATCTCTCCAACAAATGACGTTGGTCCCATGTCTCACCACTTGCAAAAGTATGAAGTTGAACCGCTACCTCTCACTAGACCAAAAAAGATCAACTCAAAATAGATCATACAGCTAATAGTGTGAAACTCTTAGAAGGAAATGTAAGCGTAAATCTTCATGATCCAAGATTAGGCAATAGTTGTACAAATCTGTGAATACACTAAAACCCGCCAGATTAAGAGGGAGAAAAAGAAGTGACTGTACAGGACACACTGAGGAAGCAGCATTTATTTACCCGCCCTTGTCCTGCTAGACCCAGACCTTCAACCTGTAGCCAAGGGCGGGCACGCTCATTGGCACAGAGCTGGCAGTGTTTCTTCAAGGAATCCAGGTTAGCCTGCCAGCAATTTTAATTGGCTGTTTCAGTTTTTAAACCCGCCCAACAGAAACGTATCTGAAGGATCAAAAGCATACCTAAATTATCTCACACCTCGTGAAGTTGGTAGGTAGGGACTAATGTTAGAGAATGAGTGTCCCCTCCCATCGTCCATCCAATCATGGATTCAAATTTAGGAAATGGCTCATTACAAAACTTCATTGCGAAGCACAAAGAATTACCAAACCAACATCCAAATAAAAATTTCCTTGATGAATTTACAATGAAATTTACAATGAAATTCCTTTTAAGGATCCCTTCCAATCTATCCCATTCTCTCCTGTCGTCCTCCACTATAAAAATAAAAGCTTGCGTTATCTTGTTGGCAATAAAACATGTCTCCTTCCCCTTGACTTGTACCCAATTCTCAGTGACTTGATGGCTTGATTTCAGAGCAGTTCCTTTATATCTGAAGACCGATTTTGGCCTCGAGGAGTTGCATGCTATAAAGTTCAAATACACTCACTTGCAAATCTCATAAAAAGAGGGGGAGATAGTTTATTTCTTATCATAGATAAAGGTGAGGTGGGGGGAGTCTAGATAAGATTGATTGTGATTTGTGAAGTGTTCAGTTGGTAAAAATTGGATCATTGTGGCAGTGTTTGACATAGCGCCTATAAAACACTTCGGCGTCATAAAGCAAGGTTCTCCTCCCTCATCCTAGGCTATTTTTGACCGGAACCGGAAAGATGAACTGCCCCGGCTGCAGCTGGAGTGGATTGACAGCATCTGCATGCCTCTGTATCAGGTGACCTTGACTGGGGAGGGTCGGAATGCCCTGACGGAGCCACAAATGGAAGAATGTGTCCCTGTTGTTTTCAGAAACAGTCATTTGAGGATCCCCTTCTGGGGTATTCGAAATCGACTCCACAGCCAGTGTTTGTGCTAGTATTTTGCTGACAGCTCAGGTTGCTTTTTATCTTTTTGTTCCTTCTAAGATATATTAACTGATCTAGATTTTGAAATAGAATTATATTATTAACCTCATTTTTATAAGTAAGGACACTAGGCTCACAGACAATCTAGGTCATGCACCCACACAAGTCATATTTAATCTTTTCTCGCGTCTGACCCTAGAAAAGAGTCTGTTCTAGGAGGTCCGATAACTGATTTCTCCACCAATTCCTAGCACATAATCTCCTTGGGTCTCAACATCCTTGCCTGGGCATCAAGCACACTATTTTACCTCAGCATTTCCCAAATGGTGCCCCATAGAACACAAGAACCGGGCGCTGACCTGCTAAAATAAAGCATTTAAAAAGCCATTGTCATCCAGTGAGCCCACAAAGACAGAGTAGAAGAAAATTCCAGAAATTCCGAGGTTGTTCTCCCAAGGAAAGAGTTTGAACAGCGGGCCTTGCAGTCAGGAACTGACCACTTAACCACTCTGTCCCCAGAGCTCCTTAGCTTAATACAAAGTGCTTCCCAGTCCCCAAACCTTATACCTAGGAAGCGTCTTATGCACATTAGGGTACTGAAGTCTCTGTGAAGACCTACAGGAGAGAAAGAGGTTTAACCTTGATTCATTCTGAGTTTCCCAAACATATGTGACCTTGGAAATCCTTCATATTACTTTTTGTTATTGTTGTTCATTTTATTTTTATTGCTATCATGTGAGACACAGAGATTCCGTGGAATGTGGGGTTCTGCAGTGATGCTAAGGCTTGGGCCAGGGGGATTGCGTGAAGTTCCTTTTATCTTAACATCTGTCACCCTCAGAGGTGCAAGTAACTAATCTGGGCCGCTGGATTTGGAGGATGGAGCCCTGCCGGGGACAGTGGGTTAAGTGTCAGGCTGCACTTCAAGGTCAGAGGTGTAAACCCTCTGGGGGGAAGAGGAGGCTACCTGCTCACATAAGGAAGGATCAGCAGTCTCAGAACCCGACTTGATGGCAGTGGGTTTGGGCCTCTGAGCAAGACACACTGCTGACTTCCAGCACTGACCTGACCCCGCTCCCAGAAGGACACAACCCATCACAGTAGGATTCACACTCTACTTTTTGAGCACAGATTAGGGCTCCGAGGTTAGTGTACATTGGCTTTTAATTCTGTTTCTAAGCATTTGCTTTCACACCTATAAAAGCGGACGAGTTCTTTACCCCCCACCTCGGTCAATCAGGCTGAGCGTTTCTCCGAACGTCTCACACACGCAGGGAAAGCCAGCCCTCTTCCGTTCCTCACTCCGTGCAACGCCATTAAAAACACAGGATTGTTTTTTAAGGACCTCACAACCATTACATTGCAGGCTTATTTACCACTTCATTTTCAGAGCTTTTAGGGAACTGCTGAGCCCTGTCACATTATACTAAAAGGGAAAAAAAAATTAAAAGATCTAGAATACTGTCTTGAGGATGGAAATGTACCTTTTCCTAAGGATTAAAACTAACCAGAGAATATTCCCTTTTACTTTTATATGATCCATAGCAGAAAATCAACCAAATAAAGTAGAAAGCAAATCCCAAACCAACTTGTCTAATGATAGATGGAGAGTAATGTTCTGTTAAGAAGCCTACTAACAGGTGTGCCGGCGGTTCAAACCCACCAGCCGCTCCTCAGAAGAAAGATGAGGCTCTGTGCAGTTAACCTCGACTACCCACATTGAATTATTTCTTAATGCGTCGCCATTTCTTGTGCACGCTTAGGCAATAAATGGTATGAGTAAATTATTCTTGCAATTAATAAATTCTTATTGTGGGCATCACTTAAGGAGGTTGAAGGCAGTGTACTGTGATTAATTTGCACCCTACTTTGCAGAGCCCCTTTAGAAGGAGCCCAAAGTTGGCACACTCTTCCTACATGAGTGACCATAAGATTTACTGGGAAGGACCTGCCTTGGCTTTTCCACATTAATTTTGTTTGGGTTTTGGGGTTTTTTTTTTTGGGGGGGGCGGTTCATTACTAATCTCATTTCATTGGGCTCATCTTATGCTTCCATTTAAATACTTTGAAATCTTCTGGCTAAAAGGAAGTCACTTGAATTGCAACTGAACACAAGCACTGTCCAGTTACTTATCAGTGAGGCTGGATTCACCTACTGTTTTCACCCGCAGGAAACTAACATAAATAGCTAAGGGATGCCCTGTGTCCCTTATCAGAATTGTGTCCTGCTCATGCATGGCCTTGGTTTTGCTTCCTACGGTTCCGCTCCATCTACGATGGCTAGTACATCCATCGCCTTATCATTTAACTAACTGGAGAGAGGAGTGGCATTCTCAGGAAGAAGGCAAAGGAGCCATTTCCAGAAGCTCATACTCATACTGCATCTTCTCAGACAATGAAACGCTTGTCCATCACTAATAGTTGAAAAACCTCACCGGATTTCTTTTGTAAATTCTTCGCAAGACTTTGAAACCAGTATGTCTGAGAGCCTTGTGTGTCCTCTGTGAGTGCTCCTTTTTGTTCCGTCTGCATACGGTTGGTTCCCCCTCCCGCACCCCCTATGTAACTGGATAATCTCACATTAAGCATGTGTGCTCTAGAAATGCAATACAGTGCAAATCAGTCACTGGGCAGAGATTTCAGTGAGAAGTTATAAAATCTAAAGGAAATGCTACACCAAGTAGGGAAAGTTGCGGAGGGGAAGGGTCTGAAGGAACTCAGTGGAATCCTATCAACAATCTCTTTTGAGATATGAAAGAGGGTAAACAATCGAACAGAGGCGAAATGGGCTCATGGAGATCTCTGGGGAACCAAGACATGAAGTTGAGGAGCCCGGGCCCATCCTCCAGAGCTGAGAGAAAGTCTGCCCCCAGAGCCAGCACCTCGAATTTGGACTTCCAGCCCCTACACTGTGAGAAACGAGTTTGTTTGTTAAGGCTACTTATGATATTTTTATTAGAGCAGCACTAGATAATGACACTAGATAATATCTAGATAATGATAGTAGACAAAAGCTAAAACGCACTGCCATGAAATTGATACCAATTCATAGTGACCCTAGAGGTCCAGGTAAACCTGTGAGTTCCTGAGACTGTACCTCTTTCTCACTCGCATCGACTCACTCAGTGGCCCTGTAGGACTGGATAGAACTGCCCCTGTGAGTTTCCGAGACTGTAACTCTTTATGGGAGCAGAAAGCCTGTCTTTCTCCCGATGAGCCACTGGTGGTTTCAAAGCACGAGTAACCACTAGCCAGGAGGGCTCCTAGCTAACTAGGACACTGAGTAGTCCCGGCCATCGAGTCAATCCCCACCCAGAGTGACCCTGCAGGACAGGAGAGAACTACCCCTGTGAGTTTCTGAGATTGTAACTCTTTTTTTTAAAATAATTTTATCGTATTAGTAGGAGCTCATACAACTCTTATCACAATCCATACATACACCAATTGTGTAAAGCACATTTGTACATACATTGCCCTCATCATTCTCGAAACATTTGCTCTCCACCTAAGCCCCTGGCATCAGTTCCTCATTTTTCCCCTCCCTCCCCAC